ACTGAGGTGGAGAAGGGCAGACCAGGACCCTGGGAACACCCTGGTTTGAGTGAGTGAGTGAGTTCTGTTCAGATGAGAAGGTGGTGGTGCCTTCAGCCCAGCACCACCTCAGTGTCCTGTACAGTGACAACGGTGCTCACAGGTATTTTGTAGGACCTGCCCTGCCAATGAAGAGGCAAGTAGCCCTGTAACTGGGGTGTCTTCATGGGCACTGGTGTTGAACCCACACCTGCTCCCAAGCCTGAGCCCCCCAGTGCCATCTAAAGTAACCCTTGCCTTAGCCCCTCAGTTTCCCTCTTTTTAGTTAAATCTTGCTGTTGCAAAATATTCCCTTCATGCATGTAATGCTTCTATCGTCCCAAGATTGTCCACTCTGTCATGCTCAGGGAGGTCTGGTAAATTGGGGATTTAGGGTCAAAAGATGAACATGTCAAAAGACAGTTCAAGGCTCTTAGCTCCAGTCACAAGCAAGTATACCATGGCAGGACCCCGTCAGCTGTGAGGTGGACATTGGCTTTACAGGGATGAGAAGACACAATGACAACAGTTATGGCTGTGTTGGTTTGTCGAGTGCTTACTATGTGCCAGACACTGATCTAGCGCATGTATTATCTCCTCCACAAACCTGTGAGGCATCCTGCTTTTATTGTCGCCATTTTTGTAGATAAATCACAGTGAAATGATCCGATTCGGTGCTTTCTTCATAGTGCGATCTCAGTAAATGTTATTATGGTGGTGGTGGCCACTTGTCCTGTCCCCTAAGAGCCAATTATGCACATCTGTTCCCACCTCTGTGCACAGGGACATCACATGGGAAGCTTAAAATTGGCCACAATGGCAAATCAGACTTCTCTCTCTCTCTCTCTCTCTTTTTTTTCCTGAAAGGTGCACTTTTCCATCATGACTATTAATATATACTTCCACTGGCATGGAAATAATATTAGAATTGGCCCCTACTAAAATCAATGTACTGAAATTCACTAAATGGAAGAAATACCTTTCTTTGTACCTTGATGTCATCATACTGATAACAAAATCCAATCAGTCAGAGTTTTACTGCAGTGGACTTCACCTGTAGCCAGAACCTTAGAGGGAGACTACGATCAGGGGCAAATGGCCAGTAGGACCCCAACATCCAACTTGGAAAGCCATTTGTCATCTCTAGGTAAGCAGGGTCTCATTGTGCTATCATATGCTACTTTTCTGAGTAGGTCTTTGAATGCAAAGATGCTGCCCAATAATCAGACCATTTGAGGGGAACTATGAGAAGTTCATTCCATTTCCAGGAGAGGCTGGGGAAGGACAATCTGCTGGGAAGAGTGGATCCAGCACAGGATACCATGTAACTTCATGAATCCTGGTTCCAGTTCCCTGTTGATCTTTCTGCAGGAAAGAAGAAAAGTCACTTGGACCCTCTTTTTTCCCTCCATAAATCAAGGTGATTTGATCTACAAAGAACTCCATCTAGCCCATCACCGGCAAACACAAGTGCTTTGTTCATAGAATGCTCCAAAGACTATACTGCATTGCACAAATACAAGTACTATGATTTTCATGATAACATTTCCCCTTATTTTAGCATAAAACCAAGCTCTGTGTTCTAAGGAAAGAAAGCTGACTTGGTGTTTACGTGGAATGGATAACAAGTAGAGAAAGAAGAAATGGATCTTGTGTGTGTGTTGTTTATCAAACAATCAAATGTTTAATGGAAAACCTGTATTTATTTATTCAAATGCTGGGAATTGAACCCAGGGCCGCATGCATGCTAAACGAGTGTTCTACCACCGAGATACCCCCTTAGCCTGGAACTGAATTTATTGATTCTGACTTCTGTGCCACCTCTATATCTTGAACATCTCATGGTTATTTACAATCATAAATTGACATCCTTAATCTGGAAACCCCAAATCCAAAACACTCCAAAATTTGAAACTTTTTGAGTGAAAACGTTATTCCACAAATGGAAAATTCCACACCTGACCTCATGGGATGGGTCAGAGTCAAAATGCTAGTGCACTTAAAAATATTGTCTAAAATTACCTTCAGGCTATGTGTATAAGGTGTATATAAACCTACATGAATACTGTGTATAACTTTATTTCTTATCCCCAAGATATTTCATTATATATATGCAAATATTCTAAAATCTGAAATAAAAAATTCCCTAAACCAAAACATTACTGGTCCCCAGCATTTCAGATAAGGAATATTCAACCTGTATTGGTTATCATTTCCCAGTCCTGTGTAGATAATGGGATTTTTTGAGGGCAGGGCTCAAATTATATTCATTTATTCATTCAACAAACCGTCATTAAAACCTACTATGTGCTTCAAAGGAGATCAAAGAAGGATGAAACAAAACTTTTTTTTTTTTTCTGGTAGGGGCTTCCTGGGATAAAGAGTGTAGGGAGGAATCCAGTGGGCAAGGAAAGATAGGGTGGAGTGCTTGCTACTCCTGTCTAGTAAGGTATAGACTAAAGTGCTGTAGAAGTTGAAAAAAGGACCAGAAGGGGGGTTGAAAGATATAGCTGGGGCTTAAGGTGGCAGTAGCTTTATAAGGAGAAGCTTAATAGACACAATGCCTATGTTGTGTGAACTGTAACTTTGGAGACCCCTGGGCCATGAGTGAGATTTGAATTCTCCAAGGGGAGTGGTACCATGCACCACCAGGCTGGGCTGAGCTGATAGTGGAGGCAGCCTGGAGCCCCTGTCTAGGTTTAGGTTATTTCAGGCTCCTTGGCAGAAGAGGATGGAAGACTATTGAGGGAGGTGTACCCTAACTCTTTAGAATGGGCTGGCTGCCTTGGGAGGTGTATGTTGTGCCCTAGGCTACTGCATGCAATCAGAGAAAACTGCTGACAGTTGGCTGTTTGGCTGCCCCACTTGAAATGCAGCCTGAGGCCCTGAAATCCCAGGCTCAGGGCCCTGACTATGCTGAACAAGCCAGACACACAGAACATCATTCCTCAGCCTTCACACTCCACAGATCTGGCAGCAGGCTCTGAAAACCAGACACCTCTCAATGGGCATCCAGTAGTCCAAACACCTCCCCACCCAGTAGTGAGTATTCTGTTAGTGTGTCCTACAGGGGATGAACCATATCGGTTCATGGCTAGGACAGTTGACTTTAATGCTGGAATCCCATCCTCCTGCAAGAGTGCACTGGTATGGTTAGAGGTGTTTATGGACCAAGGATCCATATAGACTCATGTAATGAAGTGGTTGTGAATTTCCCTCTGAAATCTCCCTCCTTGGCACTAGAGCAGTACAGCTTTAGGAGAGCACTTTCCACAAGACATTCTGTCATCATCTGATCACAGGTCTCCCTTCCCTCAAGTGCACTTGAAGCCCTGCAAGGACAAGGACCATGTCTTTCTCATCTTTGTACCCCCAGCTCTTTGCACAGTGCTTTGAAGTTACTCCACTAACATTTAGGGAAAAGAATCAAACCAAGCCATAGAGTAGGTAGCCACTGGCTGTATTTCCTTTCAGCCACTCTGCTTTCTACTCCTTATGATTAACTGCAAGAACTTAAAGTCCCCGAGGAGAGGCAGGTCTGCAAATTGGATGCACCATTACCTAAGCTTAGACTGGGGCTCCAGGCTGCCTCCTCTATCAGCTCCACTTAGCTTGGAGGTGCATGGTGCTCTTATTAGATGTGCTACTCCCCTTGGAGAATTCTAATTTCACTCATGACCAGGGGTCTCCTTTCACTTTGGGTCCAAAGTTATAGTTCACACAACATAGGCATCTTGTCTGTACTGAGCTTCTCCTTGTGGCCCTGACTGTGTCTTTCAAACTCCTCTCCTCCCTACTGATCCTTTCTTTTATCAACCTCTATGGCACTTTGAATACACCTTCCTAGCAGGTATTGGCAATGGCTTGAATCTTCCTTCCCCAGAAGGTGGCTTCTCTCAGGGATGGGCAGATCTATGGAACATTTCTGTCCTTGTTGCCTCTTTGGGGAAAGAAAAGCCATTTCTCTTAGTTGGCTTCACTGTGAAATGCTAATTTGGTATAGACTGATCTGCCTCAGATTATTTCTTAATTTTGATGCCTGGAGCATCTTCTTTGGAGATGCTCAAGGTTAAAGTGACATTTGAAGACACATTGAAGATACTCTTTCTCATTAAGGAATGTATTGTAGATGGACATGTGCGATGTCATGCAGCAGGTATGATCCTGAAAAGAAGTCACACCATACAGTCATCCCTCCGCATATGTGGGTTCTGCATCTGTGATTCAATCAACAACAGATGGAAAATATTTTAAAGATTGCTTCTGTACTACACAGACTTTTCTCTTGTCATTATTTCCTAAACAGTACAGGATGACGATTATTTACATACTATTTATATTATACTGTTATTATGAGAAATCTACACATGATGTAAAGTACACAGCAAGATGTGTGTAGGTTGTACACAAATACCATTCCATCTTATATAAAGAACTTGAGCATTTACAAATTTTAATATCCTTGGGAGGTCCTAAAGTAAATCTCCAATGGTATACTGTGTATTAAAAGGTTTTATATGCACAGAGAGCTCACTAGCTAAGCCAGTGTCATGTGTGTATGTATTTGCTTTTTATAATCATGGAGTTTTTTTTTCCACATGGAATCAAATGTGGGAGACTACTGTAGCTACTACTACAGATCAAAGACAGGCAGCTCTGTTGGAATTGGAAGTATTGAGTAGAAGAGAGGCTTGGGGGTGGTGCGTGTGTGCAAAAGGGGTTCTAGCCTCTGTTTCATATCTCTCCTTTCTGTGTGTGTGGAGGGGCACAAGGGTCTGTGCATGAAACCTGAGCATACCTGGAACCTTGGTATGCAAACCACTAGTGTTAAGAAGCCCTAAAAATGTGAATCTTTAAAGACATGGTTTAACATGTTTATCAAATGCAGGTTGCTATTCTCTTGAACCCATTCCTCAAGATATCTGCATGTGCACCCCCATACCTCATTATCATTTGGGTTTTAATGAAAATCTTTTTTGCAGCACATAGGACCAGAGGTGGAAGCTCCTTCATCCTGAGACAAACATCAGAGGGCACTAGCTTTGAGGAACTGAGAGATCCCCCATCAGTTCACTAAGACATGAGGCTGCAGCACATATCTGTCCAAAGGCAGTTAAGTCAGGAGCAGGAAGCTGCCCTCTGGCTCTTTGGGTAAGTACCTTCAATGGAGGGGGATCCATTTGCAGGAGAAGCTTCAGTCACAAGGAGGAGCTTTGAGCCCACGGTGAGACTCTGCTCCCTCTTTGATCCCCACACAATGTCAGAGAAACAGAGGCCTCGGGGACAACTCTACAGTGGGAAAAAATGGAAAGATAATGGCACTGAGCCTGAGTTTTGAGGAATTTCTAGGAGGACAAGAGGGACTGGGCAGCTCTGGACTGGGCATGTGTGAAGGGTAAGGATTCTCTAGGACAGGTCTCCAAGGTGGGTGCTGTAGGAACCATGGTGAGCTTGGGCCATGGGGCTGTGTTTTAGTCAGCTTTTTCATTGCTGCTACCAAAAGATCTAACAAGAACAATTTTGGAGAAAGAAAAGTTTATTTGGTGCTCACAGTTTCGGAGGCATTCTTCCATAGATGGCCAACTCCATACCTCTGTGCCTGAGGTGAGGCAGAAGGGTGTGGTGGAGGAGAGCAGTTCAGACTTGGCAGCAGGAAGCAGAGATAGATTTCTGGTCACAGGGATAAAATGTAAACCCCAAACACAGCCCCAGTGACCTAATCTCTCTAGCCACACTCAATGTGCCTACAGTTACCACCCATCTCAGAGGATTAATCCCTTGATTAGGCCACAACTCTCATAATCTAATCATTTCACTTCTGAACCTTCTTGCATTGTCTCACACATGAGTTTTTTGGGGACACCACATATCCAACCCATAACAGGCTGTGTTCCCCTCATTCCCCAAATTCCTATGTTGAAGCCTTAACTCCTCGTACCTCAGAATGTGACCTTATTTGCAGATATTTACAGAGATAATCAAATTCAAGAGTAGTCATTAGTATGGATCCTAATACAATATGACTGATGCCATAAAAAGGGGACATTTGGACACAGAGATAAACATACAGGGAGACTGCAATGTGCACACTAGGCCAGCCATCTACAAACCAAGGAAAGGGTTGTGGAACAGAACCTTCCCTCACAGTCCATACATAGAATTGACTCTGCCAACATCTTCATCTTAGACTTCCCCAAGGCTTCAGAGCCATGAGACAGCACACTTGATACCCTGCGTTCATGATATTTTGTTACAGCATCCTTAGGGAGCTCATACACAGGGAAACCCTGGGCACCAGCAAAGTGGAAATACTAGTGCTGCAGCTCACATTTTGAGTGGTAGAGCCCCTTGGAGCAAGGACTGATGTCATCTGCCCTATACTGCTCAGCAAAGAGGAGCTCTGCTTCTTCCTGATGCTTCCCAAAGGCGCCACATTATTCTTGCAGCTGACTGTATTTCTAGTCATACAAAATAAGATGATTCCTGATTTGGCTAAATTTGAGCCTTCTTCCTTTACCTATAAGTCTCATCTCTCAGCCAGTGTGACCCAGAGAGACAACTGTGAGCCCCAAACCTTGAAGAGGAATATAACTCTGTATTGAAGGTTTTCTCAAGGAGGGGAGCAAAGCCTGTGTGACCTTGCACAGTTTTTGCTTAATGTGACTGCCTTTTCCTCCACTTTTCCTTTCCTCCAAGCCCAAAGGTCTTTCACTACCTAGCAACTGCTCAAGTAGTTTCCCCTTTCAATCTTCTCCATTTTTGTTAAAACAGAAATCAAAAAGCCTTGGAAAACTTGGAATGGAACCACCATTTGACCCAGCTATCCCACTCCTCAGTCTATACCCAAAGGACTTAAAAACAGCATACTACAGGGACACAGCCACATCAATGTGTATAGCAGCACATTTCACAATAGCTAAATTGTGGAACCAACCTAGATGCTCTTGAGTAGATGAATGGATAGGGAAACTTTGGTATGTACACACAATGGACCATTACTCAGCATTAAAAGAGAATGAAATCTTAGCATTTGCAGGTAAATGGATGGAGTTGGAGAATATCATGCTAAGTGAAGTAAGTCAATCCCCAAACACCAAAGGCCAAATATTTTCTTTGATATGAAGATGCTGACTCATAATGGCGATGGGGGGGGTAGGGAGCATGGAAGGAATGGAGGGAGGAACTTTATATAGGGCAAAGGGGAGGGAGGGAAAGGGTGGGGGCATGGGAGTAGGAAAGATGGTGAAATGAGTTAGACATCATTACCCTAAGTACATGTATGAAGACACAAATGGTGTGAAAATACTTTCCGTACAATCAGTGACTTGAAAAATTATGCTCTATATGTATAATAGGAAATGAATTGCATTCTGCCATCATGTACAACAAATCAGAATAAATAAATTATTTAATTTTAAAAAAACCAGCCCAGCTGCTCTGCTTCTCCCTTGGTTCTCCCTTACTTTCCCTCCCATGGTCAAGTTCTTTCTACTTCCTTCCCCATTTTCTATATCTACCCACTTTTAGTAACATTATGTTCTTTTGTGCATAGATGAATTTAGCTTTTCTTAGCTTTTTCTATTCTCTTTTCCAGGCTTTATCCTGGACAACAAAGGCAGATAGAGAATATTTCTTCCTCATTTTCAAGGAGGAGGTTGCAAAGATATCTGTTTTTATCATATCTCATATGAATCTACGCATGTATGCATGTATCTATTATCTATGTATTTATGTATGTATGGATTACCTATAATTCATCTGTCTACAGATATAAAATCTCTATATTTATCTATCCAGTTATCATCTATTATCTCTATATTATCTATATATTCATCTACCTATCATCCATCCATCATCTATCATCTACTATCTATCCATTTATCTGTATCTATTATCTATCTATCTATCCATCCAAAGTTCTAGTGTTCTATAGCCAAGTGGGATGACTATATTTCAGAGTAACCTAGTATATATTTTATGAAAAATTAGATCAGAGCTCAAAGCCTCCAATTATAAAGAAATAATGAGGTGAAAATACTAATTACCCTGATTTCATCAATATACATTGTACAGGTGTTTGAAATATCATACTGTACCTCATAAATATGTGTAATTATTGCATGTTAGTTGGAAGTTGAAAATAAAAATAAAATCTAAAAATTTTAGAGTAAAAATACATATAAATTCATACTTGTGTTTATATATTTTTTTATTCTAGTCACACATGAAAAATGTAAATTTTACCTTTCTCCTTGTCTAGGACTAAAATACTCATGCAGAGAAGCCCATAATTTTGGACAGAACTCGGAGCTATAAACACACATAAAACTCTTTAAATGGCCACCAAATCTACTACCCTCTCATGTCAATGCCAGTGTTTCCTTAAAACACTTTCATTTTTCAATTTCACACACAGTACATTTTTACTCAAGAGGAAATATGCAGAGAAACTAAAAGAAAATAAAAGCAATACTACTCAGAGATCACCGCTATTAACATGTTGGTATGTATACGGTCAGATTATGTTTTATTGCAATATATGCACAAATATCTAATTGTAAATATATATTTTAAAAAGTGGGATTAAATACATACCATTTGTGTACTTACAAGAATGGAATTGAATTCATACTCTTGTAAGCCCTTCCACCTTTCCATATCAATACACTTATTTACAGCATCATTTCCAAGGGCTGCTGAGTTCATAGTGAAGGATCAGAAGCCAATAGTTTTCTTGCTGAGGAGAAGGAGTAATATAATAGGGGAAGGAATTAGAGTTAATGGCATCGCCACATTCTGATACACAGGTGCTCATGAAGTAATTCTCAGTGAATTGAGTAAAACATTCAAGAAAGAGTTCTAAAGAGGAAAACTAACTTCTTTGGGACTAAGTATAATGATTTTATTAGAAGAATTTGAGATCGTGGGAGAATTATCTTGAGTTGAAGCTTAATACACTCCAGGAACTCTGCCTACTCAGGCTTGTAGGCCCATGTTAATTTTTTTCTTTCATGATAATTTTTATTGGTGCATTATAATTACACATGATAGTGGGATTCATTATGCCATGTTGATTTTGAGTTTAAAAGTCCTACATTGAACCCTAAGCTTCCAAAACTCACTAATGAGAGTAACCATGAATTGCAACGGCCTCTTTGGGAAGTTGGTGTCTGCATGCAACTTTCAGCTCGGTTTACAGACACAGATATTTAATAGATCTGGACAAACTTGAGGAACCACCCACACTTTAGGGAAACTTTTTTTCACCAAACTTTCTGGGATTTATGCATCACCACACAAAAATTTCCCATGACTTCCATGACCAAGAAGGAAAACAATACTGTTTTTCAGAAATAGTTGAAGCTCTTGGCTCAGGATACAGTAGTGTTGGAGACATCATATACTGAGCAGGGTCCAGGATCCTATAGATGTCCACACATTCTTCATCAGGGTCAGAGGCAGAGCCATGAAACTGCTGTCTGGCACAGGTCCTGTGAGATGGCCAGTCGGGTGCTTAAGAGCAGGGTGGCAGAGTCATTATGTGGCTTGATAAATGCCTTGGTAGCTAGAAATTATGGTTGAGATAACTGGCATTATTAATACACATTCTAGGCAGTCTGGGTGCTTCTGGCCAGACTATGTGATTTAAGGGGAAAGAAAATAATTATCTTTTAGTGTGTCCCCCTTGCCCCAAACAGACACTTTTGGTCATGTGCTCTCTGATAACTGGATAAGGAATAACTCCTGCCAAGAAGTTCCCACCTCTTCCCTAACCTGTGTGTGAGTAACTCAGTGGAAACATCTTGAAGCCATCTTTGGGTGGACAATTCCTTGGGGTGCAGATGGGATGCTCTGTCCCACTCAAGGGGTTCTTTTAGGCTCTTGCCTATCAATTAGAAAAGTCAGGGCTATTTCAGTGGTGTCATTGGGGCAGTCTCTGAAGTCAAGCTTCTGTAGTTTGTACAGGGAAAACTTTATAACCCCTGTGACAGGTTATTGAGAAATATGTCCCCAAATGAGAATGCCACTTCACACATTAAAGTAGATCTGGTTTTTCTGGTATGGAGATGGGTCAGCTCTAGTATGGTCACCTCCATCTAGAGTATGGGCTCCTTGACTTTCACATTTATTAATTTATTGTCTCAAGAGTA